TGTTGATTGTATAGGAATGTAGTCCATGGTATTTTTAAAATCATCTTTCTCTCTCTCTTTGGGGGTTTTTGCATGTCTATTTTTGACTAATTTTTGGTCTAGATTTGGAATTTGATGTCTGAAATTGCATTATCTTTAAGATTTGGTGAGATGCTGAGAAACCTTAAGGCGGAAGGCTATTTCTAAAAATTGTTGTTTTGTGAACTGCCAAACTCTAGCGGATGAGTATACATGTAACCGGTAGTAGTTTTCAGTAGCTCCAAATACTCATGGTCATCATAATTAATTGAATTTTTTAGGATACATTAAGGATTGGTTAGGCTTTTATTCGACTTATTGGAAAGCTTTCAACATGATTTTTGGAAAAAGTTATAGAAGGTTGAATTTCGTGTTTTAATATGGGAAGAGATGTTAAATGAAAGTGGAGTAAGTCCATAATACAACTCCCTGGCGCCCGTTTCGGTGCGTTAGAATGTTATTGTTATTAATTAAATTAATTAGGCCTAGATCTAGGCTATATGAAATCAGGACAGACCACTTTTTACTTATTGATCGATGTGATCTGTTCAACTGGTTGTGAAAGGGGATAAGATGATGGAAATTAGGCCTAAAATGACTTCAATGGTCAACAGTCTACTTTCAATTTGTTTACAAAATTTGAGTCTTGATCCGAGTTATCTTTGACATTGTCCAGGCAAGAGTAATACAAAAAGTGGTCAAAGTTGTCTTGTATTTTTAAAAATGTGTGTCCAGGAAAAATAATGACTCCATTTGCAAGTAAACATAGAATCTTATCAAAAAGGGGAAATTAAGGACACTGGAAATGTCATAGAAGAGAGGATTAGATTTACTAGAAGATGAGAAGGGGTGTGCATTATATATTTTATTTCAATAGTTTGTATTATCGGATAGAGTGACTTTTGGCCAATGGCAGTGTTGTTAGTTTTATAACTTATTTAAGATCATATTGTATTGAATCCAAAGCTCATATATTGAACATGTCTATTCCAGTGGACCAAAGGCCAACTAATAGCAATAGTATAAATAATATGTCTGCTATAATTACAACACCTGATAGGACATTAGAACAACCATAAACATCATCTTTTGATTTTCATCCTTACAGTCGGAACACTATAACCAGCAGAAGTACCACTACCACCATGCCTACCCGCAGTACTGCTGGTTTTACGGTTAGATATCGAAGTGTTTGCGGATGAGGTAATTCTTCTAGTAATTATCTTTATTATATTTACCATGATCTAGTCTAGAGAAGATGTGAATATTTCATGTATTAGCTCATCCTCAATATTGAGGAAAGTAACAAGGTTATAGATTGTGACAAATGATAATGTTATGACCCTTTAGTTACATGGCAAACCAGAAGGCTAAAAGCCTACAAATCCAATGATATGTTGGGGGATACAGAAAGATTAACATATAACAATCAGCAAATATCCTCTGAATCGCTTTTTGCCATTTTCTTTAAATTAGAGCTCATGTTATTAACGTAATGTCTAT